TACGCCGTAGAGAGTGAATGAAGGAACTTACAGTATTGCCGAACTGGTACGCTCTGGCGGGCTCGTGCTTCCTCTCGCCCCATTGCTTGTCTTTCCGCTTCTGTATTTCCTCATCGCGCCAATTACCAATCCTCTTTTTCAGGGCATCGTACGTCCAGCCGGAGCCCGTTGGCGCTGGCTCGTCCTTGATCTTCTCTTTCAGGTTCTCCAAGGGAAGTTCACGCCCGTCATCAGGAGGCTCCTCCACTGCCAGGACGTCGCCTTGCTCATTTTCGATAATGATGTGGTCTCCTTCGTCATATATCTCGAGACCATCTCCATCGGGTCGGTCCGGAGTACGGGGTCTTTCGCCATCTCTTGCTTCATGGTCTGCAGCCTCCTTTTCGACATCCCTGTCTTTTCCAGATGCGCGTTGAGAAGGAGGTAGCGTGCCTGAGGAGCTCGGTCTTTCCTGCGGAGATTGACTTTCGTGTAGGGTCGTCGAGGTTTGCTCGCTTTGGCTGCGCCGCTGGGGGAAGATGGCAGACTGGCTGATGGGGCCGCCGGGACCAATACCGTCATCCCACTTCTTCTTCTTTCGGTGACGGTTGGCGAGAGACGAGGCCCGACTTCCCTGGCGGCTGTTCGGGTCTTCTTCGCGGACACGGCGGAGGAAGTGATGTGGGAGGGTTCCTGGAGGCATCTCGGGCAACTTGAGCTCGTCGATGTCCGTGTCAGACATGGTTCTAGCCTGGGATCTAGACTGTGAGGAGATTCGGGGCAGGCGGTTCATCCAAGAGGGGCCATCTTCAGGGGCTGTCGTGTAAGACATTGTAATTGTAAGCGTGTTGATGTGCTTGCCGAGGGTGAAGACTGCGATCGAAGAGCCGTGGACTATGATCGATGCTATCACCAAGAACGTCACAATAGGCCAGACGAGGGTAAGCAAAACGAAGTTCTCCCTAGTCGGATCAGTTGGCGGTTCCGCCAAGGGAACAGGCTCCTCCACTTCCAGTTCTGCTCGAGCAAGAATAGCAACAAAGATAGCGCCGACACCAATGGGTCCGAAGTGACCAGCGAAGAGGGCCTCGCGCCATGTTTTAACGTCCGGTATCAACGGTTTCAGAGCCATCATGACGGGGATTCGACGGAAGAAGATGACAAATATAGCAATGATCACGAGCCTCCACGCTGTAAGGCCCACGGCGGCGTTGTTGAACTGCTCCCAGGGGATGATGGTGCCAAAGTAGACGAAGTAGGCCAAGTTGAGCAACAAGTCGATAACGTTGGAGACATGGGACTCCTCCGTCTTCTGGCCGAACCAACCGTCGTTGGAGAAACCGACACCACAGGCAAAGCCCACCAACAGATCGTCCACGCCCAGGATACTACCTGAGCCGGCGCAGAACAAAGCCAGGACAAAGTAAAACACCAAGAAGCTCTCTCGATCGATGAGATCGTGCTTCTCCGCAAGTCTAATGCCGTGGCGAGCGATATATCCAACCAGAAACCCGAAGACAGCGCCAAAAATACACTCGTACAGGATCGTCCAGACGATCCAGTGGTACGTAACCTCCTTTGCGTGGAGATGGTCCTGGATGAGATAGAGCGAGAGGTAGACGAAAGGGAAAGCCATTCCATCGTTGCATCCAGACTCTGCAGAGAGGAGATCTCGCAAATGCTTGGGAACCCTCTTAGCGAACTTGCCCTTACCGACAACTGAGGATGCAAGAACGGGATCGGTAGCCGTGACACAGGCAGCCACTACCAGACTCTCGAGCCAGCTCAGAGGTGGAATCATCCACCATACGAACAGGCTTGTAATCAGCCATCCGTAAGTCATAACAGGCACCAGCAGGAAGACGACGGATTTCCAGTGCTTCTCCATATAAAACTTGGGCAATTCGACCCCGACGGCGAAACATTGTACCACGAGAACTATTCGTGAGAACTCGATCGTGACAATGTCCACGTTACCCCAGGACTGGGGGTTGATTAGGTTGGCGGCATGGGGCCCGAAGATGGTACCAAAGATGGTAGCCACAGTGGCCTCGCCAATGTACATGCGCTCCTTGATGACGGAGGAGCACAGCATGAACAGCGAGGTAAAGCCACCGAGGAGGATGTACACCAAGTGTGGCTTGGTGATAGAGAGGTGGTCCCACGCCATTGTTCAGGGCGGGCTGTGCGCGGCGAGGCGCACTTTTCCCAATGAATGAATGGGAGAGCTTTTTTCTTTTTCGGGATGCTGCTGCAAGTGCTACTGCTGCAACAAAAAAAAAAAAAAAA